GTGTACATCACCTCATCACAGTTTTAGTGAAAACTTTTTGAACTCTTTCAAGGTTTATGATATGTTTAGCTTACTGGAACTCCAAAGTTTGAGCAGTATTCAAGCTTAGGTAATACAAATGATTTATAAAGTAATCGGAGTAAAAGAATCGTTGGATTATCCATGAATATTTCGATGTATCAGGAAAACGGAGCCAAATGCCTTGGTAACAGTCTCATTTATATGCTCAGTAAAATCGCAGAACTTACCTCAAGAGTTATCATCCCCTTAAATACCATGGATCTTTACATCATCGGCATATAATCTGACATTGATGTGTGTACTTGATCATTAACACTTGGTAAATCAACTGTACAAAGCAGAAATAAGAGTGGGGAGAGGACCCCCTTAGGTACTCCGCTGGTGTCATATGTTTCCTAGTAACAATTAACTCTAACAGTCAGATTTCTGTCGGCTAGGAGGCCATCCATTTCAATAATTCATTTATATCCAAATACTTTAGTTTACTCAAAAGTTTCACGTCAATAACTTTAGCGAACGCCTTTAATAGGTCAACGTAAATAGCATCAACAAACTATTCCTTCCCTTAAATTTGCAAAGGTTTCTTGTCTAGAGTAATGGAAACCAGCGTAACAGGCTTCAACCTCGCACAGAAGCTGATCCGTTTTTGAAACTACGCTCTCGGTGGCTAACCAGCAGATATCCACGTTCCAACATCTATAATAAAGGCAAATTTTGTAGTGTTTTTAGATAACATGTCAATAGATTTAGGTTTGCGCTTAGAAAGTTGTTAAATTTTGTTCGAGATAGCAAGAAATTCTGCTCACCTATCACAATACGTGAACGTGCTGCACAAAGCAGCTTTGCAGCAGTACTTGGATGTGCTCGAAAGTGTAATTACCGCATTGGTGTCCAGAATTGCAAAAATTTCCTTTAGATTCGAGATTAGACAACTTAAATTATTACCTTGTAACAAAATGATTTTTTGCTCTCAAGCAATCAAGCAGAATACAATTCGTAGATTTTGTTGAAGTAGATGTTTGTAGTGATATTATTCTGAACCAAGAGTTGGCAGTACTTATAAATGTGCGGAGAATAGGGTTTTCGTAGAAAAAGTGAAGATATGAAAATGTTAAAGACGCAAGCTGCCAACTTTCTTGATTCGATAGAAACCAGTCTTGATTCAGATGTGGCGGCATGGAGACCGATCTCCTACAAGGACTTATAAGAATGATCCAATCCGAGAGGCGAACTGGACATTTGGTGGTGGCGGATGGGGGCAGTTGTCACCTGTTTGTTTGCAAGTGCTTATTTTGCCGTCTAATTGCAAAACATAATTTGCAGATCGGGATGCGACAGATGTACAATCTCGGCAAATTGATACGACGAAAATATGTCGACAATGGATTTTTATCTGGGAAATATTCCTCAAAAGAGGTTAGTAGTCAAATATAATTTTTGTGGAATTTCACCATTAAGATTGTTATAAAACTGATTATTAGATCTACATACGCTCAACAGACGTTAACAGAACCATTATATCGGCAATGTGTAATGTGATGGGAATGTACGGTGATACAGGAAATGCAGGCACAGACTACCCAAGTGAGTCGAACTGGCCTGTTGGATATACCCCCGTAGCTGTGCATACAACGTTCAATGACGTACGTCGATTCTTTAAGTGAGTGAAGGACACAGACCGTTAGCCATGGTATTTCACTAAAGGCAGGTAACCACGGACGCTGCAAACGTCGTGTGCAACTATGGGAGTTGGCAAAAACCTCTCGTGAACTGCAGGATTACAGGAATAGACAGGATGTAAGTATTCAAAACTTGAAACTGAAGTTATTGTCATTTTTCATTTTTAGTTATTGAATGTCTTTAGCTGTCAAGCTTCCTCAAGTTCTTGGAGGAGAAATCAGGTGAAACTATCAGTTTCGATGGTGTTTATGTTGTCCGCGATCCCCTATATATTGAGGTTAGGAATTATCTTTCAAAAGTATAAAGCTTCAGCGATACTAATCACAAATTAAATAGACAAAAATGATAGGTAGATGGCGATTGTATTACGAATTGAATTAGATAAGATTATTGCGTAAGATCAAACGATACAGATTATTAGTATAGCAGTGGAATAACCAGAAATCAGTTAGATAAGACTTTTGACTAAAATTCAACCAATTTTATTGCCAAATCACAACAAATAGTTCCAAGCGTGTAGAGTATTTTTCACTTTTGAATATAGAGAAGAAAATATTGTTTGAAAGTGCGACCGGCTTGTTGGCATTTAAATCGTGAATCGCGCAGAGTCACAATGCTATTGATCCTGCTTCACTACCAGAAAGTGCAGTCGTTCCAAAGCCATCTTTGCGCTCTTTGCCGTTAGAAGCCGTGTTGATGTTCTTTCGGCATGAGTGTGAACCCGATTCCAACCTTAAAAAGTAAATACTCAGTTTGAAGGCATCAAGAAGATTGTACTTAGGAGGAAAATTTACGGTACTACTTACGTTATATGCAATCATCACTCATCCATCATGGAGAGAAGACCTTAAGAATTGAAATTAAACTCACGCCTTGCTCTGATTTCGTATCTTGTGTGATAACAGATCTTTGTCTGTCAAATTCTCAATGGGCAGGCGCTTTGTGCGATATGATAAGCTACACAGCTTTCCTGTAGGCTATTCATTTTAGCAAATTCATTTCAAAGAAGCGCTCAAAGACGTAGCTCCTTGGTTTTCGGATGCCATTTTCGACAACATTACGAGGATATACGATCAGACGACACGATATCGAAGCGGACTTTTTGGTTATTTTTTGTAATTCTCATTCTTTCATGATAGTAATTAACGTCGAGTCATTCGTATCTTAATATGAGTGATGCAC